AAAGGCTTGGTCAGAACTATACTTGAAAAAGATGATCCTGTCATTTGTTACAGATTCAATAAAGGGATTGCATGTGGGCCGAAGTGGCAGGAAATAGGAAGGAGTGACTCATTGAGACAGTGCGGATTAAACCATGATTTAATCTAGAAGTATTACCCAATCAGTAGAACTCTTGGCAGCTGATTAGTCGGCAATCATTACATGATATGGGGAGAGTCAAAGCACGGAATCTGGGTACAAGGTAGAGGGAAAGTGCTGTAAACACAGACACGATAGCCTTGGTGAGGATGGACTCTGTGGATAATGATAATGGACTTCTCGTCTTTGAGGCGTGAGTAATCATTGGTAAAGGTGCCCAACTAAGAACAGGTGAGGGCTGGAGATTTAGTTATCTGAACGAAGGTACAAATGGAATCTGAAAGGGACTGAAAACACAAAGAAGATAATAAGCAAAACTTATTCTAGGAGAGAAGAAATAAACAGAAAGCTGAGAAAACAAGGAGTTATTTGGAGGGAGAATAAAGTGGGTGGTGTGAGCAAGGACCATAAAGACTAAGAAAACACCAGTTGTTATTGTTAATCCCGATACTCAAGGGCACTGTGGTCTACCTGGGAAACGGATTTCCTCACATATTCTGAAATTCATTCTTTAAGACTTTTTATCCCAAGATACTCATGTAAAAAATGAGGAAACAGAACTGTGGCTGGTTCCAGAATGCCCTCTCTGGAACTGGAACACTCAGCTGCCACTCGGTTTCTGGTACTCTCCACCCACTTGGGCATTACAGGACCCTGTGCTGTTTTCTTCTTCTTTGAAATAAAGACAATAGTTTACTGCCTAGGATTGTTTTAAGAATTAAATAGAGCGCTTTTTTTTTTAATTTTTTCCTGAGACAAGAGTCTTACTCTGTCACCCAGGCCAGAGTGCAATGGGGTGATCTTGACTCACTGCAATGTCTGCCTCCAGGGTTCAAGCGATTCTCCTGCGTCTGCCTCCCAAGTAGCTGGGATTACACGTGCACACCACCATGCCCGGATATAAATGAGTTAACTCTTGTACAGTACTTAGAACAATCCCTTGAACATAGTAGGTGTTCAATAAATACCGGTTGTAGTACAGCAACCCCCACTCATATATATATATATATAT